TTAGTAGCCTTTCTTCCACTCTTTAAATCAAAATTGTCGCAGAAACTAACTTACAAGATTAGCAAGCTCTCGTAAAGGAAGACATTCTCCAAAGGCTTTCAAAAGATTGGTTATGTTCTTCTTGGGATCAGGTCTAGATAAGGCCAAGATCATCGGCTTGTGGGGATTTGTAAGAAACCTCATCACCTGCCAACGTTAGGAAGAATCAGTAAAAGATCCGTTAAATGATGAGTGTATAACATAGCTGACCTACTTACTTCTGACCATATTGTTGGAATTGCCTTGGAGAAGATCCATCAGTACCTCCAATAACTGAGACAATTTCTCCATCAATCTCAGGGGCTTCTTCTTGAATTACAACATTGCTGTAGTCCATCCCAGGAGGAATAACCTACAAACAAATTGTACTTCAAAACTAAAATAAGAGGTGTAAACCAGATAGTTCAGTATCATCTCATTGATCGAGACAACGCGGAGTTAACAATATGTTTCAGAACAAGGAAAAATATACTTCTGTGGTAATTCTCTTTCCACATCATCTGTAACATCCATATGACGGAAGCAGTGATCAATACAATATCTCAAAATAGGGGAAAGAGAAAGGAAAAAAAGAATAATTATTGTTACCACCATTATTGGCATGTATCGACCATGACAGTTTACCCAACGTCTAGAACGGACACGTAAAACTTTTTCAAGCTTGACATCAAATCCATCATAAAGCCCCCACTGCTCTTCAATGTCTTGTTGGGTACTAGTGACAACTAGTTCTGCAACATCAAGGGAAAATTCTTCTGCTTCAATTCTTCTCATAATCTTGTATGTCGGATTGATGTCTTCCTTTGATTGACGTCCTTGTTTAAGAAGCTGCTCAAGCTTGTTTCTCCCAAGAGAGTGTCCTGTTAAAACCATGGGGACGTTTAAAGTACCTGAGAGAAGCTCAGCACTGTCCCCTGCATCAGCATAATGACCATGGATAACATATGGTCATACAGGTTGGCCTCCACCAATTTGTTCACCGAGAATTTTTTGACATATTAAGAATGTGAGCCAGAGAACCATCTACAAATTCCTGAATATAAGGCCACAATAATTCTTTATGAAGGTACTTATCACGTGGACCAAAAGGGATCCTTATAATGTACGCCCTGCTACTCTCTCCAACATCATTTCCATCTGCATCTTCACCGGTGGTCGTTAACATTTCTGTAGGCTCACCATAGCTCCAATCAACTTCAGGTGATAAGACTTGTCGAGTAAAAAGATCCACTCTATACACTCCTGGCATCTTTCCAAGGGCCCTAGAAAGCTCTACCACATATTTGACCTGAGGACCATTTTATTGTTTTAAAAACATAAAATAAATGAAGTGAAGCCAAAATGCAATCAATAATTTTTGTTGTTGTTGTAGAATACAACATTTACCTGTCCACCAGTGTCAGAATCTCGACCAAGCTCCATGTTTTCTCCTCAGACTAACCCATGTAAACTGGTTTACAGAGAAGAAATATAACAGTGCTTCAATTGAACTGTTAATGCAGAATTCCTTATAGAATCTCTTAAGTTGCTCTTTCATTAAAATGCAAGCAAGTCATGCCACTTGGAGTAAAATCATGATGGTAACTTTCAGGCACGGTTATTCGATTTACATTCTTTTTGCTTCTATGGATAATGAAATGAAGAAATTTATGAAATACATGCATTAAAAAATTTAATGAATTGTGTAATCCATTGGGAAAATGAGAAATACAAATATGATGGTTGTTGTCGCCTGCTCCAATAACAAATCATTGGTTTAACTAAAGAATCAGTAGACAGTTTTAAATTACAATGGTTATTTGGTTATCATTAGTTAATGAAGCCCTTCCTTCCTCTTCCACAGTTTTAAATAAAATACACAGTTTTAAATTAATCCTAGTAGGCTTAAATTGATAGAGAAATCTTAAGATGAATTCAGGATTAATGCACACTAGGAGGGAAAGTGATACCTGATAAGGATAATGTAAAGTTTCTTTCCCTTCTTGTCCTCTGACCACACTTCCAAGTTGGAATAGTTTCTTTGGAATGTTTTCCTCGGGGTCTCAGTGCTCATCAACTCACTAACAGCATCTCCCTTCTCTCCTTCTGACAAGTCTTCAACTAAGTCCTCAGTGGCATCCTTGCGCACAAGTTCACGTTCCCATTTCTGCTTTGCCAATCGTTGCAGTTCTTCCCATTCCAACTATTTACATCATAAGATTGTGATTTGAGTACTCCAAATTGCTTCACTTCTGTAAGTAAAAACTCATTTTCAGGTTTCTTGGAGCTCAATCTATGTTATCTAAAGGGGGAAATGTCACACTTTAGAAATATTCTTGCAAAACTCTCATTTAGCCATATTCAGGAAGAAACACTTACAGAATTGTCCATTCACATAGTTAACTATCTTCACTAAGGAATTTGTTCAAACACAAGGTACCATACAGCCACATGAGCAAATATAAATACTAAAGCCTTAAATCGGACTGAATAATCGAGAAAGACAATCTAACTAGTCCTCACATACGCATAGGACATCCAAAGACATGCACACTAAGTTGTATACATATTTATACATACATAGTTACATACACACACATATCTATAAAGAATACATCACAGAGTTAACTATCTTCAATATGGAATTTCTTCAAACACAAGGTACCATACAGCTACATGAGCAGATATAAATATGAAAACCGTAAATCGGATTGAATAATCGAGAAAGACAATCTAACTAGTCCTTGCATACACATAGGACATCCAAAGACGTGCACACTAAGTTACATACATATTTATACGTACAAAGTTACATTATATACAGTCACATATGTATAAAGAAGCACTTACAGAATTGTCCATTCAATGAGTTAACTATCTTCACTAAGGAATTTGTTCAAACACAAGGTACCATACAGCTACATGAACGGATATAAATATGAAAGACAATCTAACTAGTCCTTGCATACGCATAGGATATCCAAAGACATGGAAACTTAGTTATATGTATATTGATACACACACGTACATATATACATGCATATCTCTATGAAGAATAGAGAGGGAATAAGGATAGAGGAGGGACCTGCTTCTTTTTACGGGTAAGGTGCCAAATGCGCCAGCACATGTTCTCGAGCCTTGAACTACGTTCGCTGGCATTCCGCGTGGCGACAACCTTGATCCATGTCCTATGTAGATCGGTTTCATCAACACCGGCGACCACCTCTTCAACAAAGTACTTTGTTGGATTGAAATGACCCCTTTCTCTCAAATCCACCGTTGGGTTTTGCTGCTCCTCGATGGCTGCTGCCCCACCGTCCAGTATTGCTTCCAAGTATCCATTTATCCACTCGTTCGCTGCCATTCCCTTCTTTCACTTTCGCGTCTCCTCTTGGACTATGAAAAAAATGGGTTCTTTTTGTCTTGGTTTCCACATTGAGTGGCAAATGAGAAGGCTCGACAGTTTTGTTCCAAAACAAATATGAAAATGGATGATTCGGTTGAGGTTGGAAAGAGTCGTGCGAGAGATGGAAGGGAAAGAGGTGCATGCAAAAGGGAAGACGTGGCTTAAAGAGATGGAGACACGTATGCAGAAGATGAATGCACAGTTTGGATATGCAATACAAGGTGTGAATGAGTGTTGGATGTTTTTGTTTCTTCACAATATTGTTTTGTTATTAGCTACAGTCTACAATTCAATTAAAAATATAATTACTAAATATACGATATCATATTGAATAAGGGTTGAATATTGTTGATGATAATATTTAGATAATGACGATTATAAATGATTCATTTTTTTATAAAAACGAAGAGTTATAATTCATAATCAGTAATAAATTTATAGATAGTCATTGTAGTATCGTATAAAGATTTTGAGAAAAGAAAGACTCCCTTTAATATGATATGAAGGATTATATATAGAAATCTTTTATACTGATATACTTAAAATAATCATCATAAAACATCATCTATTATAAATAAGTCAATTTATTATCTAATAAGTTTATGATGATTATTTTAAGTCAATTTATTTTTTTATTTATTTTTGAATTAATAAGTCAATATTAGGAATCGCGTCAAGGGGATGTTTATTATTCAAAATTTTGATATTCTAGAAATTTTAATAAATTTTAAAAGATATAAGATATTATGTATACTTCAACGCTCTATAAATGAAAAAATATCACTAGGAAAATTTAAAGAAGATATAATAAATATATAAGTTTTAAAATTTTGTTTGTGGCTCCAATACTATGTTTTATCAATTTATATGATGAAAATTTAATCTCAAATTTAAATTAATAAAAATAATTAATAAAGTGATTTTACTTTGATAGTGGCAAAGTAATATTTATTCAAAAATAACTCTCAATCATTTGATATTTTACGCTCGTACTCTTGACATTAATGTACTCGAACATAAGGGAGGAGCTAGAAAATTTTATTTTGGATGTCAAATTTAGAGAAAATTTATTTTAGGGTGTCAAAATTAAAAATTATATAAAAAATTAAGTAAATGAAAATGAATAATGGGTGTCCGTTTATGTTTAAAGGTACCCATAATTTTTTAAAAATATATTTATTTTTTTTAAATATTTTATATCAAAAGATTTTTAAAAAAATTATTTTTCCAAAAAAAATTAGAGATAAATACAAACCGAACATGAACACTTTTAAAAATAAACAAACGAACACAAACACAACTTTCTTCATTCAAACTTTGTTCATATATATATATATATATATATGCTAACTAATTAGATTTCTAGCCTGCCACGATTATCTATATGCTGAATCACTGCAACAAAGTCTAAGAAAATGACAATTAATGGAATCCTATCTACTTCCCAATTCAAATTCAAAAACTTTTGAAGCGTAATTTAAACTGTGCATGATGATCTAGGTTGAGATAAACTAACAAAGCCAAAGCAAGGGAACATGCACATAGTGTCATACATGGATTCTGCAAACTTCCCAATATTAACTCCCACTAAGGGTGCTGCAAACCCCTAATAAGAAATTGATACTGTTAATAGCAACCATATGATCCAAATTGGCCAAAGTTTATCTTGTATCAACTAAAACACAAATAGCAATGAATTCTCCAATGCATAAACAGAGTTTTTGATACTTCTCCATGACCCTCTTCACCGCGCTTAACAAAAACAGGTAACAGAAAATCCACTTGTGAAACCGAACTAACATGACTGCTAGAGGTCAAAGACCCGATATATGAAAACAGGCTTTTTATATTGCTCTACCAATGACCACTCATCCTCACAATTTTTCTCCCTTGACAAATATATTGTCATTAGATTTAACTCCGCATGAACCAATCCGTGTCCTTTGGTCACGTAGTTGCCCGTTGATGCCATTGCTATATCGGCTTCTATCCTTCCAAGTTCCACCTGCAAGGTTATAACTGATTTGGTTTTCCATAGATCAGTCGGGAACTTAGTCATGTTCATAACAATTCTATGGGTAAAGCTAGTTTAACATTAACACAAACACAAGCATCTCAAAGCAGCCCAGGGTACCCCCACCCATATTCATGCCCATCGTTTATCACATTTATGGTAACTAATTAAACTTTGCAGAAAACCAAAGAAACTGAAAACACTCTCATCTTGTCCAACAGAACAACAGAGATCATGTTGCATAAATCAAACCGCAAAGAGTGGTTGTCTTGATCTTGTGTTTCATTTCACGGTCCATAAATCACTGCTTCTCAAGCGTTCTAAAAAAATGAATCTGCAGCTATTTTGCTCTCACAACTACAAATAAAACAGGGAAAGTTTTGGATGTAAAGGAATGGCAAACACCAAAAATAGAGCAGGTTAAAGAGATTGGTATAGTCATAAGGAAGATGTTTTCAATCAATATCCAAGCATCAGAACCAAAACAGTTTCGAGATTTTAGACACGACAATAGCAACAATTGTTATTCCCATAGATTTGAGTACAATTACTACACTAAGAATTATCAAATTTAGCATTGAATGTTACTACCCGACATACCAATTCCATACACTCATACCCTGAGAATCTGAAGCTTGGTGGAGAACGCGATGGCCACCCAATCAGGCTGGGAAATTGACCACTGTAACTGCTCGATTTCGGCCCCGGCGGTGTAGGCGAGGATTGGGTCAAGCCCACCCTCCATAGGCTGACTCATGGAGGACAAGTCCCAAATCAAGGCCTGGGAATCATCCCCGGCAGTGCAAATATGGCAAGAGCTGTGGGGTGCCCACGCTATGGCATTGGCACTAGCCTGGTGCCTCTGCAGCTCAACCACCGGCAGTGTAGGGAAGCGGATATCCAAAACAACCACCTTAGCACTGTCCATAATTATAGTGGCCATGTATCTTGGGTCCTGCTTGTTCCACCCCAACCGTACAAGCGGAGTATCGGGCTCCGAACTCTCATAAATAATAGTGGAGTGCTCCTTGTCGTGAAGGTCGAAAACCCTAACCGACCCATCAGCAGAAACAGAAGCAAAAACACCAACGCCGCCCCAGGCGATATCATAAACCTCTTTATCATGGGCAATAAGCTGGGTATCCACCGTTTCCCTCTCGATATCCCAAATAGTACAAGTCGTATCAATGGAGGAGGTGCCGATTCGCTTGGGCTCCGCCTCATTCCAGTCGAAGGAGGTAAGAGGGCCGCAGAACTCACTGTTCTTGTTGCCATTAAAGAGGGACTTGAGGTCGACCCGGGAGTGATCATCGGAGATCCTCCAAATGCGGAGAAAGTCAGAGGAAGTGGCGAGAAGATCGGGTTTCTGGCACTCCTTGTCGGGGATGAAGATGGTCTTGGTTGGGGGATAGGGATGATCGAAAGAGAGGTTTGGGTCGGATCGGATCTCTCCATTGGAGTCATCGAGCTGAACAATCTCGAGGTGATTAGTGTACTGCTCAAGAAGGCTGGCGATAGCGAGACGGTATTTCTTGTCGCGGCGGACACTCCAGTTCATGGCGTAGATGTGCCAGGGGGCCTCGTAAGTGTATATCTCCGATCGTTTCTGTTGCTCATTGGAACCCTCCGGGTTGGGATCGCTGCTAGCGGCCATCTGCGGCGGCGACACCAGAGCAGTGTTACTATTAGTATTGGATTAATTGAGGATTACAAAGGATAAAGTCTGCCATTTTCGTTTCCTTTTCACTTGAAACCGTTTTTTCTTTTAATTACAATAAAATAAAAGTGAAGGATTGAATATGCGCCTGAAATAAAGTTATCGCCTCATTATTATTTTAGGTAAAATACACTTTTGGTCCCTAATTATAAGGTTATTTACTTATACATCCTACTTCTATGAAAATTTATAAAATGATCAACTGATTCAACAAACCGACAGATCACGTGTTAATTAATGAAAGGATAAACTACACCATGATCACTTAACTATTGAGAGTTTTCAATTTAACTAGTAATCTTTTAATTTTATTAGTAATATCATTTAGTTATTTAAATGATATCAATTAAGTCATCCGTCGTTAATATTTAACGTATGAACTAACATGACAGTTACAAAATTAGTATAATTACATGCGTTTCCATCTGATTGATGGCCAATATGCAATTTTATCAAATTTTTTAACTATAATCGTATCAACTCTTCTATCAAATGTTAGTCATACGTGGCTTGATCGACATAATTTACTAGTTAAGTGGTAGGATTGATAAAATTAAAATATTAATGGTTGAATTAGAATCCTTCCATGGTTAAGTGGCCATAAGTGTAATTTACCCTTAATAAAAATAGTAAAATAACAAATTTAACTCTTATATTTTATATATTTTTATATTTCATCCTGATTTTAGAAAAATAATCGTCAATGTTCTAATATTTAATCAATTTAATCCCTAAAATCCAAAATTCTAGTATGAAACAGAAGCAACGAGAGAAAGAGACTAAGGTTGTGCCCGGTACAACACTTGTACAGGCGATTAGAACGATATTAGAAAGAAAATGGGAAATTAGACTTCAACTTGTTCGAAAGGAAGTTAACTCAGTAGCGGATTTTTCACCAAAAGGTAAATCACATCATCATTAAAAAAATAAATATCATATCAGCAGTTCAGTTAATTTTTTGACGGTAGGATATTAAAATGAAACTTAAACAAAACGTTAGATACAATTTAAAAAAATAAAATTTAAATACTAAAACATAAGAAAAATAATAATTTAGGTATTAAATATATAATTTATAAAGAAAACATGGATCAATATAAGGAATTCCAATTTCATTCATGAAAATCAACTTCAAATTGTCACTTTTACGTATAGCCAAAGCAATTATGTTCTGGGTAATTAAACCACAAACGCGAATTTCAATTTTACTCGAGAACAAATAATTTCACGAGAAAACAAGAGTTCGATCAGTCGGGAAGGTATGGCCAAAAAATTGAATTTCGACGATTATTTGAGAAGGTATTATCAAAAAGCTGCGGACATGGAGGAGGGTGCTCCATTGTGGCATTCACCATTTTCCTTAAACTTCTGAATAATGAGGAAAGTTGTAGCTTGAAACAATCCATTACTCATTGCAACAACAAGATATATGGCAACCGATACAGGGCATAAATCGAAAACCTACCGGTTCGCATCAGCCATATTCAGAATGAATGCAAAGAATTTTTCCAGGACAAAGAGCAGCACAGCTTCGATCACACCAGGTCTCGCTTTCTGCAATTTTATATCAGTTGCTGCATTTTAGAGTCCATTTACTAATGAGCTCCGTTTCTTCAGTATAGCAGCAGTGAAACCGAGTGCGAAGACCTGCAAAGACGAAGAGCATATGCAAATAATCAGTACTTTCATTGTAAGATTTCATAGTCTTGTGAAAATCAAAGTAGCTATGATAGAGCTATTAACCAACTTGGAAGAAGCAAAAAATACTAAAATATTGACAGCCCATCATTTCAACATACAGAAACCAGCAGTCTCCTACATACAATTTTTCGGAACTGATATGAAATTGTCCCACAACACACAATCGAATCGTTCCTACGGCTAAAACGTAAACGTAGCATAACATATGGATGTTAAGTGTCATCAAATATATACAGCTACCAGTTGAATCCAAAACCTGGACTTATCCTTATTCTCTTGGATCAAAGGCCAGATTAATCACAATCCATCATTTTGATTTAAAATAAGATTGGACCTTATTGATTCCATTGTAAATTTAAGACTAGATGTAGTTAGTAACATTAATCAAGAGTCAAGTTAATAATTTGATGTAAAGCTTTGCTTCAAAACTCAGAGCTGACCGAGAAAACATCAACTATAAATGATGTAATATCAAATTTAACTCCCCGACATTTTCTCAAATAATCATTTTGGTTCATTTTTTTTTCATAGAATACTTTAACTCTTAATGTTTCAATTTTTGGTTAAAATGACCCATGATGGATTAAAATCGTTTGTTGACTAACGGACAACATATATTGCTGACACGATATTTTCACATGTCTTATATATTTAACATGACATGTGTTGTTATTCAATATGAAACATAGAATGGTTTACGTTAGTTAAGATAGTGATATGATATGTGTCACATCACTCATGATGTTGATATGATATGTATCATGTCATCTAATACGATGACGTGACATATATCACGTCAATAATTAAGTACATTTAAAAATATCACGTCAATAACATATGTTAATCGTCAGTCAACTAACAGTTTATATAAAAAATTAAAACGTTGGGATTTAAATATTTAAAAATAATAATAAAGACTAAAACGATCATTCATGTAAACGTTGATTATTAATTTTGATATTATGTCATCGTAAATCAAAAACCCAAAGCTTGGACCTTGTTAATGCCTCTGTATGTGCTTCAACACCAGATCATTGGCAGAAATCGGCTAAAGAATTCAAGTTCATAATTTGATATAAAGTTTTATTTCAATCCCCATATTCATGAATCAAAAACTATACTTAAACATTAAAGCATCATAAATAGAACTCGAAGAATCAAAATACAAAACAAAACCTTAGGATTGAAAGGGTCAGCTGCTCCTGAATCAATGATTACTCCTTTTATCTTCTCTTTCAATCCCTCTCTTCTCTGAAAGCTATCAAGCAATGAACCATATCTGCCACAAAAGAACACCAAATGATCCCCAAATTTACTTTCAACAATCAATTTTTCTTTTAAAAATGGAATTTTATTCACTAAACTTACACGAACCAGCCAGTGTTGCTAAAAGCATGGAAAATGAAGCACCTTTCACGACCATCTCCCTCTTTCTCCATAACCCACTTGGCCAACTCATTTCCCAGTTCAGATATACGCTGCTCAATCCTTGCACCAGCATCAAACCATAGAAATACCTTAACATCCACGACAAAAGTAACCCCATGGAATCCTCTTAAGTTGTGCCATTCAGCATATCTCTTTAAATGTTTGCTTTTAGCCCCAAGCCATCCCAAAAAGAACTACCTTTACGACTTTGTCTTTGCATCCAAAAGCCTCAGCCTTCTCATCTGTCACACCCCAATTTAAGGCTAAATTTTTAGAAATTATAAAGTATTGAATTTAAGTGACACTTTAGAAGAAATTGAGGATTAAATTGTAAAGTTACAAAGTTTGCATACCATTTTAGAAGTTGAAGGAAATTTAGGGACCAAGTCCTGAATTCTCCCATTAAGTGTCGACAGCAATTTCATTATATACGTGCAAATTGATTTCTGGTTTCACACCAGAACAATTTGCTAAATTTTTCCTCCCCCTCCCCTCCTTTCAAACTCGATCCCTATGTCGTCCGACCACCGATCGTCGATTCGAAACCACCATTGTGTTCATCATCGACCGGTGAATAAAACCTTGTAAACCGATCGTAGCGAAATACTGTTAAACGTCGTGAATTTCGATTCAAAGTTTCGACTTTTTTTAACAACACCGCCGTAAAAATCGTCAATTCATCGTCGATCGTTGCTCCGTTTTTGACACCTCCCGCACCATAGTGTTGCTTGTGTCGTTCCGAGTTCACAGGTGTCCTTCACGTCTCCGTCGTCGCCGACACGTGAGGGAGGTGAAGAAGTCAAAGTTTATGACGTGTTGAAATCGAGCTCTCCACCGTTCAAAATTTTGAACCGAGCTTGGTAAGTGTCTTAAAATCGCTTAAAATATATTTAGAAAAAATTCGGGAATTTTTCAGATACCCTAGCACTGTTCACGCACCCCCACGCTCCGCCCCTGCGCGTTGGGAAGGTTCGAAAATGGGGGTGGCAGTTTGACCCGGTTTGACCTGACTCGTTGACCCGACTCGACCCGTTGACCCGACTCGACCCGTTGACCGTTGACTTTGAACAAAAATTCAAATTTTTCAAAAAATCATATTTTATATTTTCGACGTCCTGAGTCCGATTCCGAAGTCCGTTTTTCCAAATTTGAACCTGAAAGCCTCCAAATTATCATTCAAACCCGTTGACTTTGACCACAGTCAATTTTTGAAAAGTTAAAATTTTTGAAAAGTCATATTTTATATTTTTCGATGTCCTGAATTTGATTCCAAAGTCCGTTTCGCCAAATATGAACCCGGTAAGCTGTTTTTCACTGATTTATCAACCGATTTGATCCGTTTTTCACAATTAAGCTCTGTTTCTGATGAAATTTATGTTGATATGTATTCGAAAATTTATTGGAAGTTGATTTCAAGATCAAGGGCATTCAAATGGAGTGTAAATGGTCGATCAATATGGCATAAAAATCAAGATAATACATTACTACCTCTTTATGCTTTATGGAATATGTTGATAATGGATAAATGCATGAATATATATATATGATTGGTCTATTATGTCTGTTTGATTATGGATAGATTCAAACCGAATACGATTTAAGTGATAAATTATGAGAATAATTCGATTAGGTAAAATTACAAAAATACCCTTATATTGTAAAAATACAATAATTGACATTGGAAGTTGGATAAGAATTTTGTTAAGGAATAATTTACAGATTAGAGATTATCCGAAAAAGTGATTAACCCTAGAATCACTAAATTATAATTATCATTTATTAAGAGTTTTAATACCGAAATTATCTGTTAAGAAATTACAAAAATGCCCTTGAGAGGTAAAAATAGTCTGAGTTGACCCTGAATAAAAAAGTACCCTGAGGATTCGTACTTAAACCGATGAATTACAATTTTAATTGTTAAGATCATGTCTTTGTACAGAAAATTTCTGATATTCCGTTTGTAAAATCTGAGAAGACACTTACCCGAAAATCTCCGAGTTATGAGTAAATCACTAAAGAATAATTTATCGATGGTGCTCTTTTGTCAGAATTGTTCAAAAGGACTGAAGTAAAAGATAAGTTTGAATTAAATAATAAGACCGAACGGAATAAAAGGAAAATGACCAAAATACCCCTGGAATGCAAATGACCCAAGAATATCACTAAGCGCAGGAATGATTGAATACCCTAGAAGGGAAATGAATTGATCAGTCGACAAGTATCAGTTTTGGAAGTAGTTCAGCTCGAGTTGTTTGAAAATCCGATCGATCGACATAGATTGTAAATGTCCAAAATCTTCGTTCTCCCTTATCAGCTCAAATCACTCTGGTCATATATGAAAAACAAGTAACCCATATGCAAAGGATTCTGAAAAACTTTCTTAATACTTGTGCCTCCGAAAATTTTCCGAATACTAATTGATCCTGATAAGTCATGTTCTGAATAATCAATGTTCCCATCAGCTAATAAACCCTTCCGATAATGATTCTAATTTATGACATTCTATCGGTATACTAAAGATCCCTGTTTCTATGTCCAATAAGATTATCCAGTACCTCCGAACCATATCTATAATCTCTATTGTGTTCCCTAATCATATGAATATTTTATCTGATTTCTGTTCTGAATTCTGTTATGATTTCCGCTCTGAATTCTGTTCTAATTTATGCTCTGAATTCTGTTATGATTTCTGCTCTGATTTCTGTTCTGATTTCGAATATCTCCGTTACTGAAGCAAAATGGATTATTCGGGGCACTCTGGGTTATGGTATGAAGACTCTGGCAGGTTCAGTCTTTGCGATTAATTTCTTTTATAGGTTCTGCACTGACTGATAATTCCTTATGGACCTAAGGCGACCCTTAGGTAGGCTCTGCGGCCCTGAGATTTTTCTTAGATAGGCCAGGGAGGCCCCAAGGTACTCCCTTAGGTTGTGCAGTTCGGGGATCTACACATGGCATTCGGTTGGAGGATGATTCGGAGTTTTTAAATTAAAAACTCCTATGATGTTTTTAATAACCGTGATCTGCACTGATTTTAAAAAGCATAAATGTTTTAAATGTTTTGCGGGAACACACTAGACAACCCATTATGATCTCCTGAACCCAGATATCTGAAATATTTCCATATGAATTGAAAGCTTACTGTCTGTTACTACCTGAAATATCCGTAGGATCTCCGATCAGCATAAAAATCTGTAGATGTCTAAACCAATAAGGAAACATACGATTATTTGTTATCTGCATGTCCTGTAGCATCATCTGGTAGTTCTGTATTACTGAGCTTCCCAAAGCTCACTCTGTTACTCACCTTTTCAGATTAAAAGAATTGTACCGGTGCATCTATTGACATCAGTAAGGGAGTTCTTCTGGCGTTGCTTGTAGAGTATGGTACATGTGATTAGGGGGCATGTAGGTTGTATTTTATTTAATATTCAAGTCTGAAAATCTGTTTTATTTCTGAATACTGATAAATTATATTATGTATTCATAAATCATTTTATGAGTTTACATGTTTTAATAAAAGTTTTAAATTTTCCAAGATTTTTACAGTGGGTCGCTCCGGTGGCCCTAATGTGACATCCTAGATTGGATTTCTCCATTGATAACAACCTCGATGTTGAAAGAAGAAGATTGAATGGTTTTATAGAAACTCTAAAATAGGAGTGGTTTTGGAACCTTTGAGGGAGTTTGCAAAAATGGGTTCTTGCAACTTTGTTAAGAAACAGTGGAGTTGAAGCAGTTTTGGTGATAAAGGAAGGGAAACAGAGAGCGTTAGAGGAAGCAGCTACCATGGTGGAAATTTTGGGTTGAGGATTTAAGAAAGAGAAAGGTTTATTATTATATATTGGCTTTTTTTCACATCAAAAAATGAAAGCCAATAAGCTCTTGGCTACTATTGAAAGGCTTATAAAGTATATAGTATGAAGATGATTATGAAGAGAAATGTGAAAAAATTTAAGGTAGAAAAGCTTTTTTTTAGCATTAATGGAGGATTGGGATCCTTTCTTGAACCTAACTCTGTAAATTAACAATAGAACAAAACCTTGATTTTCATATTTTAGTTAGGGGAATAAGGGTTATTAACGGCTCTAGAACACCTTACTTAAAAGAATACGAGATAATAAAAAGAACAGTTTAGACAAACAAATAAATATATTTTCTCTTAATTTTTATTTTTTAAAAATAACATATAAGAACAGTAGAAAATTAAAAAGTATCATTACATAACAATAATCTTTAATGTTTGTACAAATAATTATTATATCTTCTTTCTTTGGAATATTTTAATTATAATATTTCAATTTTTAATTAAAATAACACATGTTAAATGAAAATCGTTAGCTAACTAATAGTTAATACATATTCATCACATAACATTTTCACATATGTTTAATTAGTGAAGCGACATAAGTCACGTTGTCACTTTGAATAATGCCACACATTTCACATCATTAATTTAGAGGACATAACATATGTCACATTATCAATTAAACACACATGAAAATGTTAAGTCATAAATATGTATTGATCATTAGTCAACTAACTACTTTTATCAAACAAAATTCGTATTGGTGTTGGTTTCCGACCATCAATTCTTTTTTCCCTTTGTTTCTTTTTTAGTTTTTTAATAAGAATAATTCTATCTTTGTGACATGTTTTTCGTCTTCTGTCTCGGTCGTTTGGTTGTTCTTTTTATTTTATGTTTTTTCAGGGTTGGATTTGACGATGCCACAATTGATCAAGATGGTGTTTATTTGTAATCTTGTTGATCTTCCCTATTATTGACCCTCAGATTGAATTTAGATATACCATTTTGTGTTCGTGGATAGTTTCTCACGACACTCGGCTCTTATTTGCGATTCTCGGTGGTCTTTTAATAGCTTAATCCCCTTTTGTAGTTCGTTTGCCGATATAGTTAGATTTGTTCGTATCTATTTTTTGTTCGAATCTTTTGATTGAGTTTTTAACACTTTTCATGTATGATCATTATATGATCTTAAGTGGTTAGTTTAAGTGTTATACAAGAATGTCCAAATTATGTATTTAGTTTATAATAATAATTATAAACCTTTATTTTAATTTTAGTTTTTTTTACTTTTTAATAAAATTATTTGCTTATGTTAAAAAATGTTTAAAAAAATAAAGAGCAAAATAATTATTTATACAAAATTTTGAAAGTTAATTTTATTGTTATGCCAATCATCAATTAGGAAGGTTGAGTGGGAAAATGCAGTACAAAATTATAACTTGGAGCAAGCCTTGGAACCCTTATAACCAAAGTTGTTGGAGCCTAATAAGATCGGTCGGTTTAAACCGCTTAGACCGGAAATCGGTAGATGTAACGGTCCAGTAGTTGCCACAGAACTATTTTTAGATTGAATCATTTGGGATTATACTAAAAGCAGAAACCAAAATGGATTAAACGGGACCAAAAAAGAGAGTAAAAACCGGTTAATATTTAAACTCATTAATTGTTAGGCCTAAATTCATTTAATTCTTGGTCCAATTATGGCTCAAGTTTGTTCAATTTCATTTTCACCATTACAAAAAAAAATTAAAGTACACAAATAATATAATTGGTTGTTTTATTGAGTTTTATGATTATTAAAAGTTATAAAATGTCCTTCAATTTATGTTATTATTTTATTAAGTCTCATTATTATTAAAAACATAAAATAATTTTTCGATTATTCATATATTTTAAAGTCGTTCTTTTCTGTTAAAAAAATTGACATATGCTGAGTTAGACGATTACGGGATCAGATTTTATAGTATCCCTGCTAACATGTTAACATCTAACTCATACGACAATCAATTTTTTTTTAAAAAATCACATGTTAACAAAATAATATTTTATTGTTAGGATCATTTTGTAACTTTTAAGAGTCGAGGGACTCAACAAAATAATACATTATAGTTAAAGATTATTTGTTTACTTTATCCAAAAATTTAATAATTTAGAATGATCATATTATAAGATAATATTTATTCAAAATTTTCTTAATTTATTGATAATGTAAATATACTCCACAGCCGTATCTATTTGAATTCAAATCCTTTAAAACAATTAGCATTCTTTTCCGCCACTAAATATTACTACTAACTTTTTTTCATAAATTTCCAAAAGTAATGATTAAATTTACAGTTTATAATTATGCAGGGGACTAATAATAGAATTTGATCTACGTATACAAATAAGATGACATCACTTGGGACTCGCCATCTGAACTGTTGATGATATCCAGATTGAAGAAAACCGAAAAGGGAAACGAAAATGGCTTCTTCAAATTCAGCTACGCATCTTCTCTCTATACCCAAAACGGTACCGTACTCAAAACCTAGTGCTTACCGTTTCCTTCAACCACGAAGGCCGTCCCCCAATCTCCGTTGCTCGTCGGAAAAATTCTCAAATAAACCTCTCTTCTGCTCACCAAATTCTTCAACTCTTCGTGAAATCTGCCAGAACCACGTGCCGGACCATGTGCTACGCAGGCAAGCCTCTCTTCCGCTTCACTTCCTTTTTGTTTTGTTTTGTTAATTGGAGGTATTGTATGTTTCTCGCTCATACGGTGTCGTTTTAGACTGGAAGAGGTTGGCTATTTAATGCCAACAGATGTACAGATGGAAGCTTTGCCTGTTCTCTTCTCTGGAAATGATTGCATTCTTCATGCTCAGGTTTTCTTCCAAATCAATATTATTTTTATTTTTTTTTTCAATATTCATATATGTATATATATTAAAAACACAAAAATATTTGCCTGAGATGATGATGTAATTAATGTTGGCCTCATTGATGGTGCTCTAGACAGGTTCCGGGAAGACGCTGACTTATTTATTGTTAATATATTCTCTAATAAATCCTAAAAGATCAGCTGTTCAAGCTCTAATTGTGGTTCCCACCAGGGAACTTGGCATGCAAGTAAGGCTTTCATTTTTATTATTTTGACATTTCAAGTTCAATTTCATTTGGATATTTGATTTCGGACAAATAAGTAGTTTACAATATTGGATTATATCAAGTGAATATGGTAGTACTATTATTATGGAAGTTTTGGTGTTTGTTATTCGGTCAAGGTTACAAAAGTCGCTCGGTTGTTGGCTGCTGCAAGGCATATGGATCCCGTACTGGACCACAAGTCATATACTGTTATGGCGCTCTTAGATGGAGGAATGTTGAGGAGACATAAGAGTTGGCTCAAGGTGCTTAATTCTTCCCGTTATGTTGTCCATGTAGATTACAGGATAGTTGCCAAACATTATTATCTTTCTAAATTAGGTTAAAATATTTTCAATAGACAGTGATTCATTTTGACAATGTGGAATTATTTGATAAGTAATTGAAAAGAATGAAACTCAGTTCTTACTTACTATTTTTTTTCTATGTTTTCTAATTTTATTGAGCAGCAATGAAGTGCCCTCTGGTAAAGTTTGATGATGTATATTCTTTAAGGTGTTTCCTTAACATCGAAGTATTTTTGAAAGCTCTTATGTTTGTGCTAAATTTCATGTCAAACTACATGAAAATGTATGTGCTAGTCATGTTTTAGGCATATTTAATCTGTTCATTTATTTTCCCCAATGTTTAAAATTCAGGCAGAACCACCTACTATTGTGGTAGCAACAATTAGAAGTTTGAGCCAGATGCTTGAAAAGCAGATATTTAAGCTTGATTCTATGCGAGTATTGGTGGTTGATGAGGTAATCAAATTACTATAGCTTCTGCCTCTGTTAATTAGTTGTTGACTTATTTATGATCTGTTTTTTAAAAATGAGGTTTCTTACACTTTTTTTTCTTTGTTAGGTTGATTTTTTATTCAATTCTTCCAAACAAGTTAGTTCTCTTCGGATGCTTTTAACGTCATATTCTTCGTGCAACAACCGTCAAACTGTTTTTGCCAGTGCATCCATCCCTCAGCATAGACGATTTATACATGACTGCATTCAGCAGAAGTGGACAAAGGTTAATCTGTTAAAAGTTCTTGTGTCATCTTGCTGGAAACTCTTGTACTTCTGTTTTTGGTTTTAGCACGTGTTACTATTTCTGTATTACCTACAGGGGGACGTTGCTCATGTCCATGTCAATCCAATTAAGCCAATGCCATCATGCCTACATCATAGATTTGTGGTGAGGAATTTTTTATTATCAAACTTATATGTATTTACTACAAATTATGTTTTACCAAATGTTATTTCCGTTTGTAGCATCTTGCTCTTGGTCTATGATGCCCCGATTGCTTATGGTCCTATGTTAAATTGCTTGACAGATATGTGGTAGAAAAGAGAAACACCAACTATTGATATCTTTATTACAATCTGATCTGCCCAAGTCTGGTATTATTTTTGTTGGTGAGCAGGTATGCACAGCTTATCCTTGTTCAAATATTGACTTATGAGATGATGCAATTATTATATTTTGTTATCTTGGAAATAGGTTTGGGTTTGTGGCAAAAAAAGAAAAGAAAGTAGGTTTGGGTTTATGCATTTTCTGTATGAATGCTTTAACCTGATATTTAATGAATGACATTTTCTTGATATGATCATGATACCTGCTGGTTCCAATCCAAACCTCTAATCTAGCATACATGTGTGTGTAACTTGTATGGCTTTATGTTTTCATGGATGAAAGGAAAAGTAGGAATGTAATTGTCAGAAGTAGCCGTGTAGTAGTAGTAGTAGTCCTATTATTATTATTATTAGTACTAGTAGTAGTCTCATTTGTTTAAGAGTCTTTTATGATATGAAGATAAGTCTTATGAGTCTTTGCAATCTAGATAGAAGTTTATCTTTAAAGTCCTATTGCAAGTCAACTACTACTCAGTCTATTTAAACTCTTGTAATCGCCTACTTCAGAAATCGGATTGTTTTTCTTGCATTAACTCCATTATTCTTTCCTTCTCTCTCGATTTATTCACTTACATTACAACATGGTATCAAATTAGGTTTCGTTCCTGATTTGAAAATTCTTTTTCATCTATTAAAATATGTCAGCACATTCTACTAGTTTATAGGCTCTACCAAGGATCAGTTGGCAGATATGCTCACAAAGGGGCTAACAAGCAAGGTTTTTCATGAAATTTTAAAGATAGGAATGTCAGATATTCACTCACCAACACGAGTGAGTGTCAGAAGCAACCGTGTCGTAGTAGTAGTCTCCTTTGTTTTTAGGAGTCTTTTATGATAAGTTAGGTAAGTCTTATTAGTTTACGTAATCTAGATAGAAGATTATCTTTAAAGTCCTATTAGAAGTCAAACTCAGTGTATTGAAACTCTTGTAATCTCCTACTTCAGAAATAATTTTTTTCTTGCGTTAACTCCAGTATTCTTTCCTTCTCTCTTGATTTATTCTCTTAGAATACAACATTAATTGGTCTTAAATTGAACTTCGACAAGCTTTAGGTTCAACTTTCTCGGTTTCTCTAATAATTTCTCAAGTATTCATTTCTCCACAATTCAATGCAGTCTGAGAAGGCAAAAAAAGCCGGGAAAGCTCCCTCAACATCTCTTTTAATTGATTTTTTGAGGACATCATATGAAGGTTCTTTACAGATCCTTCTTTTGGAGGAGGACATGAATTTTAATTCACGAGCAGCTTCACTCTCAGTAAGTGTTCTCTAATTCTTCTATGATTAGGTGTGCCCTTTCCCATTCCCCTCTAGATAAAATAAAGCTGAGTTTGTTACTAATTAGTTTAATTGATTATTCTAGCAGAATTATATGATTCCTTTTATGTGAAAAAGAAAATAGAAGAAAATTGACAAAGTGTTGTATATAAAAAAAACCACAGTGGTTGTTGCGGAGTATGAAGAATGTTAGTTATTGGTAGAGAGATGATGGAAAGGGAGAAAGGTGAAAAAGTTTAGTTCAACTTTTTCCCTCTTCTAGCCTCAACGTGGTTTCTAACAATTGTCTATTGTTTGATCCTTTTGTAAAGGCCTGTAGGGAGAATGAAAAGGGGGGGGGGGGGGAAATCAAATTTACAGTTCAAATTCATACCAACCACAATGTTATTTGTAGTAGTTCAATCATTTATTATCATTCCGAAAAATTTGCAGGATGTGAGAGAAGGAGAAGGGTATCTCCTTGTGTGTACAGATATTGCAGCAAGGGGGATTGATCTGCCAGAAACAACTCACATATACAACTTTGACCTGCCAAAAACTGCTGTTGATTATTTACATCGGGCTGGAAGAACAGGTAGAATGCCATTTTCAGATAAAAAATACACTGTTACCAATATTATTTTGTCAGAGGAGCGTTTTGTTTTACAAAGATTTGAGAACGAATTGATCTTTAACTGTGAAGAGCTTACTTTGGAGATTCCATGTTAAAAGTTTGATTTTATACAATTTATGTGCCTATTCCATTGATGTACATTTTGGATTTGGTGCATCATTGAATCAATTAGAAAGTACAAGTTTTCTTTCCTACGAGTTATGTTAAATGAGAATCTATAACTTTTGATGCTCAGTGAAGATATTCATTTTTTTTCATTTTAATTTTATTTATATTATTATTATTATTATTATAATTATTATAATTATAATAATTATTATTATTAATATATATTATTTATTTATTAATATTACAAAACTCGGGGCCCAATAATCAGGCCCATATTACAAGCCCAAACCAAACTGAAACCCAAAACATTTAGGGTTTTAGTTAGGGTTTTCTAACCCTAGCCTCTACCCAGCCGCCTCAGCTTGCTGCCGTTGGATCTGGCATGATCCAACGGTCCAAGAACATCCAGATGCAAACCCTAGGGTATGATACCCTAGGGCCACGCGGCCGCCGCTGCTGCTCTCGTCATCTCCACCGTTGCCACGTCCCAACCGAAGGCTCCAGAAGCTCCAACGCCAGCCGTCCACGCCATGGCTATGCGGTGAGTCACCACTGGGAGTCCGGTGACTCACCGAAGGGTATTCTTTTACCCGGTCCGATGGCCACACCGGTGATGGCTATAAAGCCATCATCTGCGAGCAAGGAAAAAAAACGGAGAGACGAGGAAACAACAAAAACAGAAAGAGATACAAAAACTACCAACGATCCCAGTCAACAACAATACAGCAACAAAAAAAAAGAGAGGAGAGAAGCTTACCAAAGAAGCCTTGACCATCGCCGGAAGCACTAAACATCGCCGGAGAACAAAAAATACCGAAGGTATTTTCATAGATTTACTCTGATTAGGAGTCTTTTTGGGGAAACAAAGGCCGGATTCGGTCTTAGGGTGTTTAGATCTACGTTTTAGGTGAATTTGGGGAATTTTTGACCACCGGAGGTGGTGGTCGGCGGTAGAATTCGCGGCGGCAGACGGCTGCCGGATTCCCTCCGGGGAGGGAATATAGAGAGAGGCCAGAGAGAATTCTGGCTCTCTCTGTTCGAGAGAGAAAAAAAAAAGAAAATGAGATAGCTGGCCCTTCGGGCCAGCCGGTTTGGGCATTAAATAGCCCTTCCCAAACGACGCCGTTTTGGGGAGGGCTATTCGCATAATTAAATAATAGTTAAATCCCGTCCGAAGCCATTCTAATTTGTAAACTTTACATTTTAGTCACTAAGTCAATTTATAATCCTTTTAATTGTGTTCTTTAATTTTAATTTCATTTGTTTTAGTCCTTTATATTAAAATAATATATATATAGGATAAATAACAGATTTAGTCCTATAATTTTAATAATTAATATTTTAATCTGAATAATATGTTTTAATTTATTTTAATCTAATATCCGAATTTTATATAGTTTTATTTTAGTCATTAAATTAATAAAATAAAAAATAGTATGTTTAATCCCTATAATTTTGATTAATTATGAATTAGATTTTTAATCTTAATTTATTATATTTTAGTCACTAATTTTAAATGTCTTCATTTATTTTACTGCTTTTAAATATATCGTTCTAATTGTATTTTTATTGTTTTATTTGTTTATATATTTAAATACTTTATTATTATAGTTATAAATATATAATAAATAATTATTTTATATATTTTTAATAAATTATTTTAATGTTTATTTTTCAATATCGAAGAAAAGGACAGTCTTAATACAACTGGATGTCCTATTCTGGTATTTTAAAATTAAAAATTATAAAAAAAATATTATTTAATTTAAATTAATATTTATCAATATCAAAGAAAAGAGCTGTCTTAAGGCACCTAGAAGTCATTTTCCGATATTTTTAAATATTTTTTTTAAATAATAGGATTATAAATTAAATATATTTTAAATTTTTAAATTTTAATAATAGAGACAATTTATAATTAAAAGTACCAATTTTGGGCGTTATAGGGGTGCTAATCCTTCCCTAAACGTAACCGACCACGATTCCCTTTTTTATTATTAAAAAGAACGAATTTTTGGTTATAAACGCAGATCAGTTTATTTTTTAATTGATGTTTTCTTAAAACTCTTTTAAAAAAAATAATTTTTAGGTATTCGACCTACCTGACCCAAAAGGCCGATGGCGACTCTCAAATTATTTTCAAAACCATTTATTCATATCAATTTTCCCTCCAAATAAATATTTCGTACCGGGACGAAAACCGGTTACGACAGCTTGGCGACTCTGCTGGGGACCTGGTCAAACTTTTAAAATCAATTACAAATTGTCTCTATTAATTATAAATTAAAATTTATATATTTAATTTATGATTTTTCCTTTTTAAAATTTTTTATATATTTATTATTTTCATAGTATGTATATATTTTCTTATTAATATTTCATTTTTATTTACAAGTATTTTATTTCATTATTTATTTTTCTGTCAAAGGTTTGAACATTTCTCCTCACACACAATACTTGCATTGCATAACATAAGCTCTATAATTGAGTTTGTCCCTTTTAAGTGGGAGTGAAAGCGACGTCTTCGTGAGAATTTATTCTCCGTGTCAGACCTAGTAAGTAACTTTCGGGGTTCATATGCTCTATGTCTTCGTGAGAATTTATCCTCCGTGTCAGGTATAGAGAAATGTATCCCCTGGAATTGAACTCAATCCGCTTAAGTTTGTAATGGACTAGGATTGAGGGTTGACAGCCCAAGGGGGCATCAACAAGGACAGTTCGAGTACCTTTACTCCTAGAACTGAAAACCTGCATATAATAAACCCTAGAAACTCTCCCGATCTAAAACCATGCCGAAATTTTGTCAGTAGGTATATACAAAGGAGAAATAAACTTTAGCTTTTAATTTATTTCCTTTTCCCTGAATAAATGCATGCGAACTAGAAATCATGCAGTTAGGTTAATTTTTCCAAACAAAGCATGAAACTAGAAAGCATGAGGTTAAGATTTGTACATTGATAGATAGAATTTTTATTTCTATTAATTGGTACTAACCAATTTATTTTCCTTTCTCATTTTATTGTGCTCTAACTTGTTTGCATGAATTTCTTTTGTTTGCATTGCATGATCATGCCATAATCAAAAGGTGTTTACTGGAAAGACTGTTCATCAATTGGAAAGAAATCGTAAATGGACAAAAAGTTTATGATCAAACAAAATATGATGCGGCCAAGGAAAGACATCTTGAAGAAACTCCGAGGATGGAAGAGAACAATGCACATAGAAAACCGGTTATATTAATACCAAAAGTATTACAAAAGATCCTACCAGATTGATACCAAAAGCAGTCTATGGTAAGAGCATCAGTCAGGGCATTCAGAGTGGAGGAGGTTTTTATGAAGCTCAAGTATGTTATTTGAAGGACTTGAATGACCAAAACAAGAAATTGAGCACAGAAATGAAAACCATGCATGAAGATTTTCAGAAGATCAGTCAAACGTTTCAAAATGCTGGCCTAGGAAGTACCCCAGAAGAGTGGATAACAGGGGTCACCAAGTTGAAAAAGAACTGCAACTTATATGAAGATCTTGTTCAAGAACTTCTTGGACAAAAAAGTTCTCTTACAAGGGAAAATGAGCAACTCCGAGAAGTGACACAGAAGATGAAAGAGAATGTCATGGAAGAAGTTGCAGTCCAGACAAGCAATATATCCCTTAAGCTGATAGACTAATTTGGATTTGGAGAAGTTAGGAATGAAATATATCCCTATATGTAAAGTTTTGTTTGATGTACCGAAACTTTTGCGTTCAATGAAATCTGTTCTAAGATGATCACTCTTGAGTAACACCTTTTCATACATGCATTTGTATTTTGCATTTGTACATTTTTACGTTTGTATTTACATTTACATTTTTACATTTGCATATTTACATTTGGCATCTTTGCATTTTTATGTCATAATATATTAAAACATTCATTCATTAAAATAAAGATTTCAAACGAAGTGATCTTGGTTTTTCCTTGAAGCAAGAACGCTCAGCACGACACAAGAAAAATGTCTAAAGAAAATGAGGATAGGCTAGCCAAATTTGAGATAGAGCAAAAAATACAAGAGGAATTAAGGAGCAAGTTGGCACAAATTGAAGCTAATATCACAAATTCTCATATCGATCTACTGAACAATATGAAAGAAATGATTGAGAAGCATCAGACCGCTGGAAAGAGTCTTGTTGAAAACCCCAGAAATTCTTTGGATGTTACACCTGTTCATATTCCTGAGTTCACCTCTATACCCCAGGAAATTCAATCACCGATTTACTTCGCTGTTAAGAACTCACCATATCAAGCTGGAGCATCGTTCCCCACTGATTGTCCTACTACTTCTGAGTTGAAGCCTGATGAATTTTGTATTAGTAATGAGGTCCTTGACCTAAACAAATCAGTTGAGAAGGAAAAATTCACTCAACTATTGGAAAATATAGAAGAGGTGATAAAAATCTAACAGTTGAGTCATTTTATGGGTTTGATGCCAAAGAACTAAGTTTGGCCCCTGGCCTGGTTATTCCACCAAAGTTCAAGGTTCCAGATTTTGAGAAGTATAATGGGACCACATGCCCTTCATATCATATCACTATGTATTGTCATCGTATGACTGGCTATGTAGAGAATGAAAAATTATTGATCCACTGTTTCCAAGACAGTTTATCTGGGTCTGTATCCAGATGGTATAATCAGCTAAAACGTACTCAAATACGTTCTTGGAGGGATTTAGCTCAAGCTTTTTTGGGTCAATACAAGCACATGACTGATAAGGCCCCTGATCGAACAATTTTGCAAAGCATGAATATGAAGTGCAATGAAAGCTTTCGACAATATTCACAACGATAGAAAGACGTTGCTTCTCAAGTACATCCACCATTGACTGAAAGAAAGTTCACTACTTTTTTCATCAGTATATTAAAATTCCTTATGTTAATCACATGATAGGGGTTGTCCCTAATAATTTCTCTAACATCATCATAAGTGGAGAAATCATCGAAATGGCTATCAAGAATGGCAAGATAAGAGGCTCTGGCAATACTAAAGTCAAGAAAGAAGC